GATCCTTGTATGTAAGTAAGTAAGTATGGATTTCAAATAACTCGATCCTCAAAAGTACTCGATACTTCCCAACAATATTAATTAGGTATAATAAAGACTTTTACATTGGTGGCATGGACATTTGCCTAAACAGACCCCTAGTAAAATTTTCCGAAGAATAATTTTCTAGAGTACATCCATCCTCTAACAAACTTCCAAATTTGTTGTTTGCGGGGTTTCTTGAAGTAAGGGTCAAAGAGACCATTTCAGGCGGGAGCTAATGAGTTAAAATGTTCTACGAAAATAATTCCTATCAAATTTCACCTTCGCTGAGATATTTATTTTTTTTTTTAACCATTTTTTCACTGTTTTGAAAACTACTTAGGCCGGGACATGAAAAGTACAGTAGGCCATAAAATAAATATACGAGCTAACTTTTGCAAATCCATCGAGTGTTTTATTGCTGGGTATGTATACTTTCAGAAAATATTAGCAAAGTCCGGACTGGTTTGAATTGTAATAAAATTGTCGCACAGTGTAATCATATTTTACATGGTACGCTCTTCTTTTTTCTCTAGCCGAGCACTGACATTCCTCTTTTCAAAGCTTACGATATTTTTACGTTTCATATTTGGATAAGTGTTTTTCTTACAAGTATACATATATACTCTTTCCTTACTACAAATGGTAATACCTTCGTTCCTCTCTAGTAACCCATTATTGCTTATATATATATATATATTACATCTAATATAAACCATAAGGTTTTTAGAAATAACACACTTAGAAGAAGGATTAGTTTGGACAACTAAAGATATTTGGTTCCCGAATTCTGACAATATTTGGGAACTGTTACCAAGGATTGGGAACTATTACCATAAGTTGGTAATTGTAACTTAATATATTAAAGCTTCTAATATTCATCTAGTTTGTAACAAATCGTTAATTTAGTTGAAGGGTGAGGGTAATACTAATAAATATTTCTTTGAAGCATATTTCTACAACTCCATTCAACTTAAAAGGATGTTATTAAGCTCTGCTAATGCAGATAAGCTTTCTTTCAACACATGGTTTAGTCATAGTTACCAAATCTTAGTTGAGGCAACCACGATTTGGTTTGAGAGTGGAACATATTCATGCTTGTGAGCCACCCCTAAACACATGTGTGTTTCACATACGAAGAACGCCAGCTGAGCAATGCACACAGTCCCACTTAAGCTGATGTCACATAAGCTGATGCCAGATAAAACGCTTGCTTCGCTTTACGTGACAGATTCGCTTTGACAGATAAGATGAATT